AACCCTGACATTCCATGTGATTCCGTGTGATTCCGTGTGATTCTGTGATTCCTGTGCCTGGGATTAAAAAAGGGAGGGGAGTAGTTCTAGGCTGTCCGGCTGTGCAAACCTCTGGTGACCTCCTGGCGTGAGAAACCAGGTGCAAGCATGAGAAGGAGTGGTAGGAGGAGAGGATATGGACCGACTAAGCCAGCATTGCTGAGGAGAATACTCATGTAACTACTGCCTTAATGTTGAAGGTAATGGTAGTATCTGCTGTGTCAGTTCTGAAAAGGAAATAAAACGACTACAGTTGAATCTGCAGGAGAGTCTGTATTCAGAAGTACTAGTAGGTGTTGCAAGATCCGTCTTTCTCCTAGATTTATTTTAGGCTCTGGTACTTCAAATACCGATGCGTAGACTATCTAAGCAATTGCACGGACCCCGACTTCACTGTGGGTGCTCCCATGGTGCTTAGGTATGAGTAAATGCTGCAGGGAGCACTAGGGAATGGAGAGATGTTATAAAGCAAGTTTTCAAGGCCGAGTGTTGGATGGGCCTTTAAGGAACCTGATCTAGTGGAAGGTGTCCCTGCCCATGGCAGTGAGGTATTGGAACTAGATGAACTTCTAAGTCCCCGCCAGCCCAACCATTCTGTGATACTTTTTGCTGCAAAGGAAGCAGCGTTTGTTAAACAGTTGCCTAGAAAGCACTGTTGTAATTGCTAGAAAACCATTTAGTTATGTTTCTTAGTGTATTTCTATTATGAACAATCTGAAGTCAGCATTTAATTATGTTGAAGTGTGCTGGTCTCTTAGCTCTTGCGACTTAGCTATTGTCCATTTCTTCTAGCTACTTCTAAACTGTAAGCAAAAGAGGATACTAGCTTAAAAAGGAACAGGAACTGTGGAGTATATTAATGGCAACATATCTCCCTAGCTGATAGCCCTTGCTACACCATCATATTATCAGCAATTTTTTTTATGTTAATTTCTGGATGCAACACAGACTACTTTAAAATTTAGTCCTCTGGAACATATTCTGTAAGGAATTTTTTTGATCATTCTTCTTGAAAAGATGGGAGGTTGAGACCTTAGACCTTTAACATTCCTTTTGCTTTGAGAATTGTCTCAGACCACTGTGAACAATTACTTAGGTTGAGGACCTTCTATTACAAAGCTACTACTTTAATCCAAATATATTGGGGATCCTGTTTGACACCCATTATATTCCCTAGGAATAGTTCCCGTGTGGGTGGTATTGTTTGGATCAGGTTCCCGGGTAATACTCTTAATGAGGTACTGGAGTGGTAAGCTTCAGATGCAGCAGTTCTTGGGCTTTACAGTGGTTTTGCTACAAAACTAGCACTGTAAGTGCATCTTTAGCTTTTAAGATGAAAATACAGAATCCAGAGAATTATTTTTTGTAATTAAATGTAGAAAGCAGTTTAGCAAATGAGCATGTGAGGAAAAACTCTCTGGGATGCTTGTCTTCATAGAATGTGTAATAACAATTAAGCAAACCTATTGTATACTTGTTTCAGACTATTTTGGCCAAAGTCAAGGTGCTATGATTACTTGTATCAGGAAGCTGAAGCACTTCTGAAAAACTTTCCAGTTCAAGCTACAATCTCCTTTTACGAAGACTCAGATAGCGAAGATGATGATGGTGATGATGAACTGGAACAAGATTCAAGAACAGAATCAGCTTGCTGACTACAGGAAAGGCCAACACGACTTCTAAAAGACTTAATTTAAACTTAATATAAAGGTGTATTATAGTATTTTTAAAAATAATTTATTTGTATGTAAGTTATTCTTAATAAAACTGAAATGTCTTGTAATTTTATCTGAGCCTTTCTCCTTTGTTCTATTCCTGTCTTGGTTTAGGCATGGAAGACATTAATTAGAATGTTCTTATGTGAGGCCCTATATTTTGTAGACTATAATTTGGACATCAGTTTTAGACGCAGAGAACAGATGCTTTGCTTTAAAGGGCTCCATGATTATGTGACTTCTTCAGAGTTTGAGGACATAAGGAAAGCTTTTTTCATTGTGACTTAGTAGCCTCCTCGATATCAAGGAATTGTTGGTGGAAGTATTCTATTGCGTCTGCTGTTACAACTGAGATTCAAACATGGAAAAGAGAAACAATATAGCTGTTCTCCAGATGGAGAGAAGGGTCCAATTTCTACTCTAGTTTTCATTTTTAAAGAAGAGGTTTGCCTTAAATCCCTCACACTCGCTCATGTACATTTATGTTATATATAAATACAGTGTGGGACTATCAGTTTGGTTTGTAAAGTGGACATCAAGAAAAGAGATAAAAGCCTAATGTGGTTGTGAATATGGTTTTGATAACCAAAGCAAAGTTTGCAGGCCAAAGCTCCTAAAGGGATGAAAAGATCTAATATTTTAGTTCAAAAGCCCATGCTTCTATCAGGTGCAGCTTGTGTACATACCTGAAGCTATCCTTTCCTGAGTGCTTATGTGTGATTTGCTGCAGGCTGGTCTGGCTCAACATCCTGAGAGCATCCCCACAGCACTTGCCCTGTCATATCTTCTCCCAGCCAAGCAGGTGGGAGCAGATCCTCATATACAGCCTTTCTCACCTCCAAACGGGTGGTAGCAGTAACGATGCTCATTTTAACAACAATCTTTCAGGCTTGGGCACCACACCTGGCACTGGGACATCTGGACATAAAACCAACTTCAGTGCATCGGGAGGCAAGCTCCTCCAGGGTGACACCAGGAGAAACACGGTGTGGTGCTCACTCCTCAACACCTGTCTGTGCTGTGCCAGGGGGAGCCCACCACGGATCTGTGGTGGGACCCCCAAGGCCCAGGATGGCCAGCGGGGATGTCTAGTCCCAGGCAGTTTCCACCGAGACCCTTTTGCCCCGGTTTGAGCTAAACAGAGCCGATTCTGTTCAGTGATTTTACTTTTCAGCTCAGTCTCTTCTGCGAGGCTGCACTTTCTGAACTTAACAGTGCTTTTTTTTGCAGTGTGTGCTACTGGCAGTGATAACTCCTGATGTTTACAGTTACTGCCTGGGACTGGGGTGCAGAAAGGCTCTTGCTTGTACTTGCTTCTGTAATTACCAAGGTCACTGCTGCCTCTTGTCTAATGTCTTAGGGGTGCTGGGAAGTAAGAAAGGTCAAAATGAAGTAAAAAGTTGCACCTCTGGGGAGTAACACAGGTGACCAACAAGAGTATTCCATTCTATATGCGTCATTTTCAGTATAAATCTGAGGGATCACAGCGGTTAAGCTTTCTCTTGCTCTAAGGGCCCGCCTTGTTGTTCTATCTGTGATCCCGATCCTGAGTTCCCAAATCCAGGT